CAGAAGACAAATGGTTCCAAGAGCTATCCTGGGGAATAAGCGTCCTCCAAGTTCAAGCCAACTCCTAAAAAAAGAGTTGGCTGGGCGTGGTGGCACATGCCTTTAATCCCAGCACTCAGGAGGCAGAGTCAGGCAGATCTCTGTGAGTTCAAGGCCAGCCTGGTCCACATAGTTGAGGACCAGGACAGCTGGGGCTACTGGGAGACCCTGTCTCAAAAAGACCGAAAAAAAAAAAAAAAAAGAGTTAAGCTTTTTATTTGTTCAAGTAATTATAATGCTGGCATAGTAACATGGCACAATGGTGTGGGGCACCATCATGGAAGGACACATGATGCTTTCTGGGGTATTGTAATGTCCTCTTTCCTGGCACAGTTGGACAGGGTGCTCATTTTATTAAAGCTCTGAAACTATATACGTATGGTTTCATATACTATTGTCCACATGCTATATTTCTTAATTATAAAATAATTAGGAATAAGTAAATACTATATACTTTTAAATCATCTTTAAAAGTCTATCATGTTTCTTTGAATTATCAATTCGTGGTTTAAATCAGGCATCCCAAAATTCCAAAACTCAGAACTTAAGATGTTTATAAAAACAATAAACTTTCTTGCCTGTATGAACATTTTCACTATTCTTAATAATCTGCTTGCTGTACTATCTCTTTGTTAGATGTAGGTGTTCATTATGTGTTTTTCTTATTTCTCACATAAATATATACTATAATATTTTAAATTATCAATATCCCTTATGAGAACTTATCAGGATTGTTCTCAATAAACATCTTAATAAGGATTCAATAAAGCCTTTGTTGAAAAGTTTCAGACACTCAGTATGCAGAGATATAAGCAAGGATACTACATTCATCAGTATTAACTGAAATGTGGTTTAACTAATGGCATATTTATAAAATTGTTCTATGTCACTTTCCAAAAATCTCTGACAAGTAAATTTCTTAGAGAAATCATAAAAATTCAAGTAATTTAATTAGCATTAAATGTACTGATGTAAAAATAACCCCTATTATATCAAACTAAAGCTAGAAGAGATCACTTCATGTAACTATGCAAAACCTCATAAAAAAATTATAAAGAATATATGACTTCAAAGACTTTCTTAAAATTTTACCATTTAGAGTTATTACTTAGTCTTAATGTTGTTGGAAATACCATCTTTTCTCTCTCATTTGAAAAATTACCATCTGACATCTTTTCTCTCTCATTTGAAAAATTGGTTTTCAAAGTCTGAGTCCTTATTATCACCAAAAAATAAAAAAGTAGAGAAGAACAATGAAGATGCAGATTGGTTCCCATTGCAAAGTCTATAGACAGAAATGCAAAAAGTATCAGGAAATGTCTCACTTAACAAAGCTAAGAGATCAAAACTACACTGCACTGGTACCCCAAGATCATTATGGCAAAGTTAAAGTCCTTTGGTAAAGGATAATATCAAGTAGAGAAACATACTAACAATTTAAAAAGAATCAACTTAGAGAAGAACTCTGATTAATAAATGTCTATTTTCCTTTTACTCCAAATGCGAACAAATCAGATTTAACTACCTATAAAGTAAGAATGTAGCAGCAATGACTTTGAGCATATCCTGACCTTTTAATGCCTAAATGCTTTTCCAAAAAAAATCAGATAACTAAACATTTGATTTGACCCTCTTTTAGTGTGCCAAGTCATAAAGTAGTAGCATATAATATTCTCTGAAGTTATATCCCACAGATTTCTATTTCTTAAGTAACTTATAAAACATGACACTGTCTCCATTTCTTTTCCTGTTGCTGTAATAAAATATTCTGATAAAGCAACTCAAAGGAGAAAGGTTTACCTCAGTCCAGAGCTCAAGAGTACAGTCCATTAGGGCAAGGAAATCAATGAGGCAGGAGCTTCAAACAGGTGATTACATCACATCCACAATCAGGAAGTAGAGAGCAATCAGTGTTTGTGCTCAGCTAGCTTTCTCTTTTTTATAGAGTACAGGACCCAAGCCCAAGGAATGGTGCCACCCACTTTTAGTGTAGGTTTCCCCACCTAAGTAACTAATCAGCATAAGCCCTACAGGCATGCCCAGATGCTAATTTATCCCTCACAGATGTGCCTGAAAGTTTGTCTCCTAGGAAATTCCAGATCCTGTCAATATATGATTCACATATATTGAAAAGTACAAAAAAAATTAAGATCTCGCTCACTGGATCACATAAAGTGAACCCTCATGTGTGGCCACTTCAGAAGTTTACCTGCTATCCACTCAAACCACTGCACAATTCTTCCAAGTGTAAAGCAATCTTCATCATAATTTCTAAGAACACAGAATAGCATCTCCTATTGCTGAACATTACAGAAATAGAACATTATAGGCTGTGGGGATAGCTCAACCATTAAAGTGCTTGCCCCACAAGTGTAAGTCTGATTCCCAACACGCACATAAAGAGCCGACACAGTGGTACATGTCTGTACTCCCAGGGTTGAAAAGACAGAGATAGGAGGATCCCTATCAGGTACAAAGTGAGACAGAGTCTCAAAACAGTGGGGAAAAAAAAACAAAAAAACAAAAAAACAGTGGAAATGGCTAGAGAGATGGCTCAGCACTTAAGAGCACTGGCTGTACTTGCAAAGAAGAGGACCCAAGTTCAGTTCCCAACACCCATTTGGCCGCTAACCACTGTCCATAACTCCAATTCTAGGGAACCAGATGCCTTCTGCTGGCCTCCATGAGCATGTATGCACAGATATACTTACATACATACAAGTAAAACACTCACACACATAAAAGATAAAAATAAAAAAATAGTCTCTGTTGCAAAAGAAGCTTCTTTGATGAGTGAGTGGTGACTGGCATACTTGTCTGTAAATATAAGGATCCACATTTAGCATATAGTAAGAAATAACATTTGTCTAGGGATATTACAGACAAAGGGTCTTCTCTAAGATCTATTACCTCTTCAGCCATGTATATTTGACTATATTTTTAGTGCCACACATGAGCTCCCTCCCACTGAGTGGGCTTTAAGTCCAATTAGGTAGATGTTGATTACCTCCAAGATAAATATGTCACTACTGAACCAATACAGTTTGCTGTACCAGTTGTTGTGGTTAATTAGACTTTAAAGCTGGGATTGGACCACTGATTGATTTTTCTTCCTTAGCAGCAGGCATAGTGTCCTCCAAAATTTTGAGAGCTAGTCTTCAGGGAGGAGGCTTCTAGGTCAATTCAAGGTCCACTGTTCCAAGTCTTGTGACCAAAGTATGTCCTATCTTCAGCAATAGGGTCTTATCTTCAAATTCTGGGAGACAATCAAGGGCTGTGGCAATAGCCTGTGCATTTTGAGGAGTCTCTTGGACTACCCTGATCAACAACTCGAAGGGAGGTTTCCCCTGTCTGGCACTGTGTTTTTTGTTACATAGCCTTCCGCTATACAAATGTGTGTGTGAGATGCCCAACCCTAAGTGACACATCTACAATGGAACCTCTACACCTAAAACTAACAAAACATATTAGAACAAGGGGTAGAGAGAATATTAATGCATCTCTCAACTCTCATTAGCAAAGCTTCTTCATGCAACAGAGAGCAATGAACACAAAAGGCCACAGCAGGCCAAAGTGTAGAGAATAAGAGTCTGCAGAGTGTGGGTCTCTCGACAGGAGTCCTGTTTTATTAAACTTCACCCACCCAGGGCTCAGGGGCCATTGCAGAAGAGTAAGCAGAAAGATTGTAAGAGCCAGGGGAGGAGGTACATGACCATAAGGAAAGAGTCTTATAGAATGCTCATATGAACTTGCATCAATGGTGACGAAATGCACAAAATCCACACAAACTCAGACAAAAACCAGCACAGAACTGGGGAAATGGACAGGAGGTCACAACTTTGGCAAGGAACTATTAGTAGCTGATCACTGCTGGATGAGGAAGAGTTGACTTTTTTAAGGGAGGGACACTAGATAGGCTGAGCAGGCTCCAGTGGATGAACTCACACCAAGGGACATTTGGGTACACAAACTTGATTTGAAATTAGGCTATAGGTGTCAAAGCACATCACAATTAATAAAACAATCCTTTTCTAGAATATTCCCAATTATAAAACAACATCATAAGTTTTGAAGGAATGTATATTATCTTAAGAAAAGTAATAATTTCCCAGATATTACTAAGAAACAAGTACAATAAAAATTGTATTTTAAAACTGTAAAGACAAATGATAAATAAAAATTATTTCTAGTACAAAGCAAATGTTAGTAATATAAATAGGGCATTCATTAAACAAAAAAGGACATATTTAAGAGGATTCAACAGTAAGATACTATTCAGACCTTCACACTGGCAAAAGTGAAAATCCCCACAGCTATCAGGTACCAGTAGAACATGCAGGACAAGGGCATTCACACTTGCTGCTGGAAGAATCCACACTACAGAGACCCAAAAGGCAGTCCAGCAACACACAAGAATTTCACTTTTAAGTATATGCCCTAGAAAAACCGCTACAAATGTGCCTGAGAATACTAGTATAACATGTAGGGCAGCACCACTATTAACAAAAAAAAAAAGGAAAACAGATCTTAATACAAGCTTTGTATTTCATTTGAGTAAGAGGATGAAATTGAGAAAATGCTTTTTAAATTGTATACGTATTGATAAAATGGAAGTATAAATAAGAACAAATCCCACAACAAATAATACCAAAGTCTGAAATTGTAATGGTAAACATAATTACTCAGCTAAAATGAACATATTAGGTATTTCTATGGGATTGGATACTATTTTAAACTGAAACATTTAGGAATTTCTATGGGACCAGACACTATTTTAAACTGAAACATTTATATACAGAGAAACTTTATATGCTACATGACAGCATATCACTAGTTACAATAAAGATTTTTGAAGTCCAAGAATTTTTCTATGAAAATATTTAGTAAACACCACTATTATACAAGTATAAAGTACAATTAATATCAGAGTTTCTCCTTATTATACTTTACAGTCTACTCACCAGGTCTTAGTGTTAACTTCATACTTATAAAGATCATCTACCAAACCATATTTATTGCCTGGTAATGCTTTGTAGCCTCCATGAACATAAATGGACTTTCTTATTTCATCATACACACTGGTGTGGCCATATCCACCTTGTACAATAGCTCCTTTAGTTTCTGGAACAAGCCAAGTGTTTGATGCTGTAACACAGAGAAAGTTAATTATGAACTTCAAGTAGTACTTAAAAATATAACCAAAATTCACAATAAGTAATGTTAATTCTAATGGCATATTTTTATGAGTAAATATAACATATCTAATATTCACTTAATATATACTTATTTTTAATTTTTTTTATTTTTGTGTTTGAGTATTTTGCCTACATGTAGGTAAGTGCACCACATATGCTCAGTGCCCGAGGCCAAAAGACAGCGTTGGGTCCCCTGAAAATGGAGTTACAGACAGTCGTTAGCCATCGTGTGGGTGTTAAGAACTGAACCAAAGTCCTCTGCAGGAGCATCAAGTGCTCTTAACCAGCGCTATCTTGCCCCTGAGTATATACTTATTAAAGGTGTTATATAGTAGGTGCTGAGGTGAGACTAGGTTACACTGGTCCCTCCATAATAAGTTCTGAAATTACTCAAAAATTTTCCTTAATATGATAAAATATTTATGGAGACCATCTATGTGACAGAGTTTGAATAAGTCATTGCTATAATAGAAATAAAAATAATATGACTGCTGCCCTTACACTTAAGTGGCCAAATTTTTAGCACTGTGCTGGTCCTAAACACTAAAATTCTAAGGTTCTCTTGAAAAGTTTGACGTTATTAGGTTCTACCACTGGGAGTGGCAGTAAGAGTTTAGAAGGCAAAAGCAGCAGATTCAGGGCAACAACTAGCAGCAGTAAGGACCAGGGGGCAGAAATAACACTTGCAGCAGCCCAGGAGCTGTGATCATAGGCTCCAGCCTGGTAGACAACTTTTACAGATTACTAGATGGCCCCTTCCCTTTGGTGACTCTAACTCTTCTGGAATTTTTATAAGTATTTTCATATAATAATTCCCTGTCTGCTTTCTATAATAGAAGAGACACTATTTCCTGCCACAGATTCAATGACAAAGGAATTAGTCACATATAAAACATACTTTAAAAGCATGCAATTTCTTGGCCTTAGACACATTAGATTATAAAGAACAATGGTACAGAAATCTGTCTTTAGTCTTTAAATATGCATCTAAATAGCTCCTCTGTCATCCCTTTAACTTTTCACCTAAACTTTGACATCATGAACAGCTGACTGAAAACAGTCAAGTCAATAAATAGTTAACAAACATTATACTTCAAACTTCTTCACATGCTAAATTCTAAGGCAGTGAAAAAAAATCATTCTGCAATGGTCAGAAAAAAAATTTAACTATCAAAAAGGAGTTACTCAAGTACCAATGGATTCGATGGTCTCTTTGACCTCCGTGAGCACTGCATGACACGGTGCACCTACCTATATGCAGGCAATATACTCACACACAAATAAATAAATAAATAAATAAATAAATAAATAAATAAATGAATAAATAAATAAATAAATAAATAAATAATTTTTTAAATAAAAATGAGTTATTGATGGGGCTGGAGAGAGGGGTCAGCAGTTAAGAGCACTGGTTACTCTTGCAGAGGACACAGGTTCGAATCCCAGCACCCACATGGCACCTAACAACTGTCTGTAACACCAATTCCAGACGATCTAACACCTCCTCCGTCCTCCACAGGCACTGCACGACATAGGTGCACTTAATATACATGCAGGCATAACACTCATATACTTTTTAAAAAGGAGTTACTAAATCATACTGTACTTTAAATAACTTGACTCATAGCAAATTGTTAAAGCTGCATATATATCCAAACTAAAGGTTTTCCATATTGTTATGTATAATCTCATTTATTTTTTAGATTTTATTTCTTTATTAGGAGAGGACATGGATATCATGACAGGCACATGCCACAGCACACATGTGGAAGTCAGAGGACAACTTGTAGAAGTCAGTTCAGTTCTGTCCGTCTACCATGTGGGTCCCAGGGATAGAACTCAGGTCGTCAGCCTTGGCACTTAGCACTGTAACTTGATGAGCTATGTCCACTGCCCTTATATTCATTTTAATAAAGAACCATAAATTCATTTCTTTCCAAAAATATTAAATAGAAAGGTTTAATTTTTAAAAGAAAGTTACTCTATCTAGATGCATGTTTTGCAATTTTTCTTTTTAGATTATTTGCAAGCTATGGTACTACTTCAGTGTACATTTACAAATCGTATTGCATTACCTAAAGGTACACCCATATAATTATTTGTATCATCCAAAATACATTGTGCAGCTCTTTACTGCATGTGAAATATCCTTCTACACCTTCATTCATTACTTTTATAACATGTAATTTTCATTAAATTTACAACATGTAACTAATTTAAATAACTACTTGGCTTCTCAAATTTGCTCTCACAAACAATGATGCAATACACAACACTGCAGTCATCACCAGCTTCAGGATCCAATATACCATATTCTTCAGATACTGCTGCCTCACAGTCTCAATAATAACCTTCAGAGATATGTATTACTGTTGTTCTTTCTTTAAACTGAGAAAATACAGTTAGAACATTTAATTAACACATGGAAACTTTTTAAGTCAATTTATGTGGCTAAAGTGGTTTCTTCACAAGCCTGAGAACCTAGTTCAAGTCCCAAAACCCATGTCAAAGGGTCAGGTGTGGTAATGCACACTTGTAAACCCAGTGCTGATGGAGGATCCCTAGGGCTCACTGACTTGCCATTCTAGCCTAACTGGTGAAATCTAGGCCTGTGAGAGACACCATCTCAAAGGAAATGGATATAATTCCTAAAAATGACACCTAAGATTTTCTGCTGGCCTGTGCATGCACATATGCACATACATACACACATGCATTAAAAAATAGTGTACTGGGCTGGAGAGATGTCTCAGCAGTCAAGGGCACTGGCTGCTCTTGCAGAAGACCCAAGTTCAATTCCCAGTACCCACATGGTGGCTAACAACCATCCCTAACTCCACTTCCAGGGGATCTGACGCCCTAGTCTGACCTCCTGGGCACTGCATAATAAAAGGTGTACTTATATACATGAAGATAACACACTCACGCATAAAATAAAAATAATAAATAAAATGTTTAAAAACACTCTTCAAGTATTTTTTGACTATTCACTAAAACTCCCACAAATATTTGAAAAGTCAATCAAAGAAGATGGAAAAAAAAGGTATAAATAGGAAGGCAAATTGATGACAGACACCAGGATTAGAGAGTGGGAGTATCATTCCCTTCCAAAGGAAGAGGACCAGTCAGCCTAACATTTCTTCTCCCAACCATGGATCTCAAAGGTGATTCAACTAGGGTATTCCTCCCCTAGATAGAATAGGGGTCCCAGAGACAACACCAGGTGATCCTAGCACCCCCACCAAATAGCACTCACAATAAACAGAAGGGGAAACTACTTCCCCAAAGCTAACACTGGGAAGTAAGCTCCCACCACAAGAACTACATGCCTTTACTATGTGACTACCTATTAAAAGTTTAAATAGGAATTAAGAATGGCCAATACAAAAGGCAAATGTTAAAATACAGTTTAAAAATCAGCTGAGGTCAGGCACTGAGTGCCAGGGTCAAAGCTTCTGTGGAGAGGCTCTGAGAGGACATTATGTGAAGCTGTGAAAATGAAGTCTTGGTTGCAATGAGGACTCGGGGTATTGAAGGTACCAGGACTGTGGGATGTCCACCAAGGAGCTCCAGCTGCTGGTGTGGCGTGGACCTGGACTAAGACTAAGAAAGAAGCTGTTTCTGTTAAAGGTGGAGGGAGATGGAAAAGTAGGGTGACCCAAGCCCTTTGAAGCCCAGCCAATGCCATCATGATCCCAACCAAGATGCTGACCATGGAGATGCAGGGTTTAATGCGTCCCTGCTAGATTCTAGGTTTGCTTTGGTGTGTTGTTTTGGGTCACAGTTCTTCCCTTTTGGAATAAAAATGTTTACTCTGTGTCATGATAGAAGTATTTAACTTATCCTATTGCAGAGATACATATACATCCATGTTTGTTGCTGCTCTTTTCACAATAGCTAAAAGATGGAAGCAACCTAAGTGTCCCTCAGTTGATGAGTGGATAATGAAAACGTGGTTCACTTATACAATGGAGTTTTACTCAGCAGTAAAGAAAGATGAAATCATGAAATTTGCAGGTAAATGGATGGAACTAGAAACTGTTATACTAAGTGAAGTAACACAGACTCAGAAAAAAAATCAATATATGTTCTCCCTCATTTGTGGATTGTAGCACCAATCCCTTATATGTGAGTACATAAACTCTGCTGTAACACCAGGAGTGAGGAAAACGGAAAGGATACACGGAGGTAAAGGAAAAGAACCTGAGAGGGGGAACAGATGTTACAGGGAGGGGAGAGGTGGGGAAAGTGGGAGTGTTTGGTAGGGAGGAGAGGAGGGAGGGATAAGGGGCCAAGCTGGGAGGGGGGAACTCCATGAAAAATGCACATACAGTGTTTGAACAGTGCATATGTATACCCGGGAGCTGCTTGGCAAGGAACACAGTGACAGATCATACCAATTTTAAGAGCTTCTTCACAGAAAAGTAAACAACTGAAGGAATGAACAGACAATTCACAGAGTGGGAGAAAAATATTTGCAGATATGTAACAGAGGGTTAATATCCAGAATACACAATCAATAAACTTTTAAAATATTTGTTTTTAATTATGTGTATGCCTCTAAGTTTGTGTGTGGGTTTGTGCATGTGAGTGCAGTGCCTGTGGAGGCTGGAAGAGGGTATGGGATCCCCTGGAGTTGGTTACAAGTTGTTGTGAGCTGCCTGACCTGGGTACTGGGAACTGAACTCAGGTCCCGGCAAGAGCAGTATGAGGTCGTAACTGCTAAGCAAACTCTTCAGCCACTAAATAAGCTTTTTACATCAAAGAAAAGTAATACATTCAAAAATGGAAAAAATGATCTGAACAGATCTTCTCCAAAGAAGTACACAAGAAAATACTATCTCTAGCCACCAGAGAAATGCAAATCACAACTAGACTGAGAGTCTATTGCATAGCAGTAAGAATGACTTGATAAGCCTTAAGATAAATGACACAATGCATGAAATCCAG